CAATAAATAATTGTACAGTAGTTCACAAAGTGCTCAGAAGTAGTGTATTCCTATGTTTTCGCTTATGAGGAATTCAACAATAAAGGTCTCATATCGCAAAATTCAAAGGCAATTTTGCAGGACAAAAATTTGAGGTGTCCACATACTTTTGTTACGCACTGTATACGTGTGTCCAGTGAGCCGATATCAGAAGTAAATCACGGCGATCAGTGGTATTAGCTAGATGAAACAAGTTTTGTCTGGCATTCTCGCAATGAAACCATAACGTTTTCCAAAGCTGTCGAACCCTTGTGAATCTTTGACAGGTCTGAAATGAACTGCATCATCTTACAAGTGAGCTGCTCTTAATGTCCAGACTGCACTCTTTTACCTACCACCTTGTTATAATACATATGGAGGTTTACCATTTCGCTACTCTTTGTCGCGCACACCTGCTACTTTCAGTGATCGGCACGGGTTCTGGGGAGAAGGCTCAGGAAATATGAGAGACTCGGACTTTGTGAGACAATCTCAAGATCAATGGCGTTTCATTCTGAAGCTGACTGCTATAGGAGTCGTTTTGGTCATGGCGTATAACATAGCTTATGTGTAAGTAATTTGTTTTTTTTCAATGATTGACATTGTGTAAGACTAGCGCTGATGCTATATTGAAAATCGGCCTTGACGCGCTACCTGTTCTGGAGCATAGATCGACCTGAAACATGCAAAGTGCAGAAACATACAGGAGGATCCGCGATTGGCTGGTTTGTGGAGTCTATCGGTTCCTCTCTAATAATTCTTCTATGTTATGGATTTATACTTCCCTATTCACCCATTCTCCCAAACCGGAAAGTTCTCTACGTTCGCAAACTAGGAATGGTGCTTAAAAGCTGTTTCGGAAAATACCAGGAAGCTGCTGCGCCTCGTATAAGTTTTCGAGTGGGAAATGAGAAAACCTGTCCTTCCTCAATAGTTCTAGGGCAATAGCTTACATTCTATAAAGCAGCTGTTTTCTTGCCCATCAGCGATAAGAAGGGGTCTAGTTTTAGTCGGCAATCTCTCTTGCCTTTAACTTACATCTAGTGTAGTTCATTGCGGACGGTTGGGCGTGTTCGTGCGGCTGCGTTTGGCGTGGTGCCAAACTCGTTCTCCACGAGTTGTTCAAGCGAGCAAATGACAATACTCT